AGAATAAGTCAATCCCCTCTTCTCTGTGAGATTCCCACAAGTACTGGAAGACAGTTATCATGTCTGCCCTAGTCCTTATCTTGGACAGGCTACACATATCTAGTTCTCTCCATCTTCATCGTATTCCAGATCCCTTATCATTTTTGCTGCTCTTTCTTAGCTTGGAAAAAATATAAGCACAAACTATTATACAATGCACAATCCACTAGGCGATACTTTCAGATAAAGGAGTATATTTGTAGCTCGGGGGTTGAAATGAGGGATCCTGGGTGCTCTCTGAGCGCCGTAGTTTTCTTGCAGACATTTCATTACCCAAATTAGGTAACATTCTCGGTGCTAGTCTGTTGATGTTACCTAGTTTGGGTAATGAAACATCTGCAGGAAAACTACGGATCTCGGAGAGCACCCAGGACCCCTCAATTCTTTCAGAGGTGCAGCACAGGTCAGGTTGGGCGTGGCTCGGGGGGGATGTACAGGGGTGCAGTGCAATGCAGGTCAAGGAAGGAGGTGCAACTGGTCAGAGTGACCTAAGCACAGAAAGCCTAGGACAGGAAGTGTGGGTGGGACAGACTGAATAACTTGTGATGTTCCCTTTGACGTTCTCCCTGCAAGTTTCCCACGAGCAGCGGGGAAGCTGACAGGAAGTTGCAAGTCCAAGGCCAGCAGTCAGGGAAGTCACAGTTGAGAGGGACATATGGAGGTTTGGCACACATCAGAAAGGCTACCTGGTGGCGCACAAGAGGTTCTGCTTGGGTCAGGGGGCTGCACAAGAGTGCGGGAGATGTTCAGAAAGATATGTGAGGTGGTGAGTGGCTCACATGGTGTGAGCACAGAGGAGCCGGGGAAATGGCATGGGGGAGGGAGTTTTACTCCACTGGTCTGCAATCTCCCCTGTTGGTTTCTTCCTTGACTTCTGAGAAGCTGCCAAGAAGCCTTGGAAATTAGCATCATGTAATTGCAGCTGAAGCAACCACAACTTTACCAAATTTCAGTCCCACCAGAGTAATTGGTCCAAGCAGTCTTATGTTAGCCTGTTTGAGATACCTTGGTTCAACAATTGTTCTCTTATGACGAACATTTCACCTAATTGATGGTTACACACACACACACACATGAGTTTTACTAGTTTATAGATATCTGGTGACACAACAAAGATTTCTTTTTCTTTATTTTAGAGACAGAGATATGCAGAAAATAGCAAATTAGAGAGAGTACAAAACTCCAGAAATTCTATACAGTAACTTATGATATTGACAAGTACTAGAAGTGAAATACTCAACTGTAGGACTCGTGTGTGCTCATGGCACTACATGCCAGTTTCCTGGCTTCAAAGTAACACAAATTAGGACAGTACTTAAATTATTCAAATAAAACCCTTTACATTTATCAGATGTAGCACACCAGCAGGAAACTTGCAGATAAGCAGGGAAACAATTCAGCAGAGAAGAAAATTCCTGCAATCAATGAATTACCATGAGCAAGACTGGTAGGGCAAGTCAAGCTACTGAATATAAACAGAGAGGAAACCCCACACTCACTCACCCTGGTGATGTTACTTACTTGGGTAATGAAATATCCGCAAGCAAACAATCCACTTGCAAACAATTGAACAAAACTTTGCTATATTTAGAGAGTTGACAGTAAAGAAGGACTTGAGAAGTCAGTCCAATGACTCAAATTCAGATGGGTACAATCTGTTCACTAAAGAAATGAAAACAAGTGCTTTGTTTGTGTTCCCATACCTTCAAAAATACATCTTTAACTATCGGTTGTTCCGAAATTATTTACCATTTTTCACATGGTTACAGATTTACTGAAATTTCAATCTGACTCTCAAGAAGCCTGCATTTTTCACATTATTTATGTCATAACTGATTTTTTTTTTTTTTTAAAAAAAGAGATCCATCCCATTTGATATGCAACCTGCACTATAGATGTACATTCTGCAAACAGTAAATTCTTCCATTCCTGAAGGGAAGTCAAAAGATATTTTGCAGGCTGCCTGGTAGATCCCATTCCACAATCCCATGAAAGCTGTTAAAACTCCAAGCCAAGCCCCCCCCCCCCACATACACTTTGCTGCTCTGAGGTAATAAGGGCCGAGAAGAAGATACCACACACCATTCTCTAGGCATTTCTTTCCGTCAGCCCACCCACTTTCAGACTCGGAAAGAGAAGCCCTGGGGCTGAGCATCGTCCCTGAGCAGCCGCAGCTGTAGATGATCTGAAGATGCCGAGAGGTTCCAGCCCTCCCACTGGGGAACCTTGGGAAGGACGTGATTTATGTTCAGATAAAGTGCTATTATAATGAAGCATTTCGTTTCTTTTGAAATAGTAAAGAGTCTTCTTTGCTCTCCCATCCACCGAGGGGTGGAGTCCTTTCATTTTTTTCTTTTTAGAAAGGCTACAGTATACGGCATATCAATGTATGAAAAATCTCTCACTACCTGCAACCTGGCCTGATTTTTTTTACAGGCAAGGCTGTCTTCGAGGTTTCCAGATACTGTTTTATTTATGACCTGTTTTTAAAGCACCTCTCTCTATCACAAAGGAACGCTGGGCAGTATAAATAAAATAAAACATTAAACCATGAAAACGGCGTATAAAATTTAAAATTAAAAAAGGCAAGAAATGAACATTAACTGTTCAAGTTATTTAAAAGGTAGAGGAGGGTTTTCAGGGCACGAACCAGCCCCCCCACCCCACACTCCTCTGCACTCCCTGCAGAGCCGTGTTTTTGTACCTTTCTGCCAGGCTGGGAGAGGGGGCGGGGGGGGCTGCCTCTCCTCTGGGGGAGAACAGCCCACGGGAAGAAGGGGGAGAGGCGGGGACGGCTCCCTTTCTGGACCGCACCCATCACAAGTCTGCAGCCAAGAGGTTCTAGGACAGGCCTTCCCTGCCTGGTCAGGTAGGACAGGTGGATGGAATGGGGCAGAGATCACGGTCTTACAGGCCACCTGGCCCCATGCCACGTAGGGCTTTTCAAAGCCAGAGCTCACCCACGAGGGTACCGATGCACGACCAGCTCTGAAAAGGGTCCGTTTCCTCCAGGATCCTCTGAAACTGCAACATTGCCACCTTCTCCAAAAGGGAAGGCAGGAGACCGGACACACAATGTCCAGAATAGTAAGGTCCAGCAATGGCTTCCTCAGGAGGGGGCACACCAGGGCTCCCTTAAAAGGAGCCGGCAACAACAACGCCTCCAACAACGATGAATTCACCATGGCTTGGCTCATCCACAGGATACTTCCTGGACGGTTTTAACCAGCTAGGACGGGCGTGGAACTAATGCACAGGTGGTGGTGTTTACATTCTGGACAATCCTCTCCATTGCCTTGGGTTCAACAAAAGCAAACCATTCCCAGATAACTGGGTAAGTCCGCTGCCTGGGTACCTCGACAGGATTTGCGCCACGCTTGACATCCGAGGGAAAACCAATCTGGTCAACGTTATCCTCCAGGTACCTGGAAAATTCCTCTGCCCGGCCCTGCAAATGAACCTCTGGGTTCCCCTTCCCAAGGAGAGCCTGAGTGGCCCTAAGAAGGGCCACCAGTTGGTCTTCTGTGGATGTAGTAAGAGGGCAGAAGTATTGGGGTGTCACCGCTCTGATCCCCACCAGCCAGGTCTTAATAGCACCTCTAACTTGTGTTCTGTCAGGTTGGTTCTTTGTTTTATGTGTTCTTGGCTCTTAATTTTTTTAAAAAAATGTTACAAATCCATGTATTTATTCTTCAGGACTATTTCCTTCTCTTTCTTTAATTGCCCTGTCTAAGAATCATTTTATTGCACTATTCAGCAAATACCCTGGAAACATTAACTAATAGCTTCCTTCTTGTGACTTTTCTCAATTTTATGACTTCAGATGTTTAGTTTGATTATACTTTAATTAATTATACCTTAAATAACCTGCTTGTAGTATTATGGAAAAGGGTAAATTAATCATATTCTTCCTTAAAAAAACCCTACCATTTTATTTATTTGAAAAACAGAAATGGTTACCCCGTTGGGTTCCTCTCTTCTTTGTTGACATGAGAAAAGATGTAAAAGCTCTGTTGTTTCTGGCCTCTCTCCAAATGTCATCAGTTCTGGTGTACAAACCTTATCAGATGATCATGAAAATGCTTCCTGGAACCTGCATGAAATGGGAAGAAGGTCAAAATCTCATTTTACATAAAATATGACCCTGCATCCTTAGTTCAGTCAATGTCTTGGGAGATAAATTTTGACATTCACAAAAAGGAAAGGGAAATTGTCCTTGCTCCATAGGCCTCCTTGCTCAATTGGCAGCCTTATATTCTCTTATCTGTTAAAAGTGAATGAGGTGAGGAGAACCATCTGGCTGAACGAGGCCAATTTTAGGCTGTCGCACAATCAGCCCTCAGGCCAAATTCTACCAGGGCAATTTCACCAGTAACAGGAAAATTGGACACGTTGTCAGATCCCTCACAATTGATTAATAATTCACTCAAAGTCCAGGCTTGGCCCAAGAACTGCAGAGCCACCAGATTTTGTAGCATTTTTAAAAATTCCTTAATCATGAGCTAAAAGAGGCACTTTCCCCCTGCAAGATTAGCAAAGATGTTTAAAGACAAATCAGCGAAATGTTGGAAATGTCATCAGATACCTTGATCATACTACCATATATGATGGACATGCACAGAAGCTAAAGGATATTGGACTAAAATACACACCTGGTTGGAAAAGATGATAAAACAACATACAGACTTAAAGCCTGAGATATTTTTATTGGGGATTTTGCCTGAGAACTATAATAAAGAAATAATGTATTTGATTATACATGTACTAACAGCAGCTAGAATTGTATTTGCTCAAAATTGGAAAAAATGAGAAAATTCTGATGGAGAAGGAGGTGATTAAGAAATATTGGAATGTGCAGAAATGAGTAAATTGACATTAGAAATTAGAGAGCAAGAAGAAAGGGAGTATTTATTTATTTATTGATTTGATTTGATTTGTCAATCGCTTACAAGATAATAGGTATAAGTATAAACATGAGTAAGAATACAGGAAATAGGTACGAATAAATGGGAACAATAGGACTGGGATGGTAGGCACTACTGTGCACTTATACACGCCCCTTAGTATTGTAAGACTTGATCTATTTTATGGATGGTTGGAAAATAAAGTAGAAATTAAATGATATTATAATAATGATATACTTATGATAGACAATGCTGAATAGGCTATAATATGAATGTAATCCAGTAAGATTCCATATGATGTTGACATGAAGTGATTTTCTGTTCAGAAGTCTGACAGCCCATGAGTAGGAACTGTTCTTCAGCCTGTTGGTGCGGCTGCTTCTCTATCTCCTACCAGATGGGAAGAGAGTGAAGAAGTGCTGACCGGGATGTGAGTCATCCCTGAGGATTTTCTTCACTCTTCTAAGGCAGCGAGCCCTAGCGAGGTCATCTAGTGATATCAGGGAACAGCCCATGATGTTTTGTGCTGTGCTCACCACCCTCTGTAGTGTCTTCCTATCTGTGGCTGTCAAGCCAGCATACCACCCCGTCATGCAATATGTGAGGACACTTTCTGTTGTGGACCAGTAAAAGGAGGCCATCAGTCATTGTTCCACTTTATTCTTTCGCAAGACCCCAAGGAAGTGGAGTCTTTGTTGGGCATTTCTGGCCACCTGGATTGTGTTGGTTTTCCAGATAAGATCTTCACTGAGGTAGACTCCTAGGAATTTAAAGGAGGAAGCTCTCTCCACACAGCCCCCCTCGATGTAAAGTGAGGTGAGTTCCTCTCTCTTCTTCCGGAAGTCTAACACCATCTCCTTTGTCTTGCTGATGTTTAGGTGCAGGTTGTTTTCTAGGCGCCATGAGGATAATTTTTCAACCTCCCCCTGTATGCTGTTTCATCTCCACCTGTAATGAGGCCCAATGTGGTGGTATCATCTGCAAACTTAATGATCACAGTGGATGGGTCAGACGATACACAATCCTGTGTGTACGGTGCATACAGGTAGGGACTGAGCACACAGCCCTGTGGGGAGCCAGTGCTAAGCTTCAGGGAGGTGGATGTGACAGACCCAGCCCTCACTGTTTGTGGCCGGTCCCTCAGAAAGTCTTTGATCCAGTCTCAGGTGGAAGAGGGAAAATCCAAGTCAGTCAGCTTTTTGATAAGGATGCTCGGCAGGATAGTATTGAAGGCCGAGTTGTGGTCAATAAAAAGCATCCTGACAGTTTCCGGGTTTCTCCAGACGGCTCGCTACAGAATGTAAGGCAGTCACTATGGCGTCGTCTGTCGACCTGTTCCCCCTGTAGGCAAACTGATGTTTGTCAAAGTCTGGTGGGAGGCATGTCCTAAGGTGTTGGAGAACCAGTCTTTCGAAGCATTTCATCACCACTGAAGTTAACGTGACGGGTCTGTAGTCATTTAGGCAGTTAATTGCTGTTTTCTTGGGGACTGGGACAGTAGTGGCTGTTTTCAAGCAAGATGACAGGCTGTTTGCAGGGAGATGTGAAAGATCTTTGTCAGGACCCCTGCTAAGTGATCGGCACAAGTCTTTACCACTATCCCCAGCGCCACATCTGGACCTTCAGCTTTACTGGGATTCACAGCCTTCAGTGCAGCTCTCACTTGATGTTCGTATAGGGTGAGTGGCTGGGAATCAGAAGGCTGGCAGGCAGAGGCTAAGGGGTTGGGTCTTTTCACCTTGTAGTGGGCAAAGAAGATGTTCAGCTCCTCTACCAATGAGACATCAGCATTGACCGTGTTCCTCGTGTTGCCCTTATAGTTAGTTAGGTGCTGCAGTCCCTGCCACACTTGCTCCAGGTTGTTATCTGCTAGGTCAGGGGTCCCCAACCACCGGGCCCCAGACCGGCACTGGTCCATGGATCATTTTCTACCGGGCCGCCGGTTTGCTGGGCACCGCCATCTTGTTTCAATAAGAAAGTGCTTCCGGGTGAGCTTTTCTGGTTGGAAAGCGGTGTTTGGATCCTGAAGGAATCCTCGCGCCTTAGTTTCATCGAAGCGGGGGGCAGCTTCAAACGAAGAGCTGTCCCGATGGTGGAGGAGATCAAAAAAGCACAAAAAAGGTACAAAGGAGGAAGTGAAGGTGGCGGGGAGAAGCGGGGGACGGCTGGCTGGCTGGTCGCTCAGCTCGCCTTGCCTTGTCATGCGTGCTGATGCCGGTACCGGGCTGAGGATCATTTTGTGATGCCAGTACCGGGCCGTGGCACAAAAAAGGTTGGGAGCCACTGTGCTAGGTGGCTCTCCACCTTATATTTCTATGGTTATTTACCATCTTAATGCCTCTTGTAAGGTTTGCCTTGGCCTCTCTCTATATGTCCCTGTCCCTGCCTTAAAAGAAGTGTCCGTACCTTGGCGATCATCCAGGGTTTACAATTCCCATAGAATCGGATGCACTTGTCTGTTGTCACACTGTCAGTGCACACTTTGATGTAAGAGAGTATGGCATCAGTACAGGCCTTTTCATCCTTTCAATGCTATGTTTTTCTGGCACAGCATTATCTTACATTAGTACCATATGATAAGGATGGAAAAAAGGCATTTATGTGATTTTACAATACTCATTAATGCTAATACTCAGCAGAATGTTCAAAATGGCTTTGTTCTTCATTTTACATGGGCCTTATATTTACAATTTTATTTACAATCTTACATGGGCCTTATATCCATGAAAAGAATTTCTTAAAGCTCCAGTTTTAAGAGAAAACAGCTCTACTGGGTCATCCCAAGAAGTACTGGGGTTCAATTAATTTCAGAATTAGTTACATGTTTAGTAATACAGTATTTAGTCATCTAAATGAGTCTAAAGAGTTATCCTTTCCATATAGACTGGTAACGGTCCCTTGCTTTGAGATACTTCTCTGGATGCAGTAAATCACAGGCATGGATAGTGTAAGCCTCCAAGACTTCATCTTCTGCTTGACTCTTTCCAGCTGCCATAGAATTGGGGGGTGAGGAATAACTGGGCTTTGTGGGGGGAAGGGTGCTGGAGGTTGAAGTTGTGTGAACTGTAAAAGTTGGGATGCTCTCCTCCCAATGCAGCCACTTACCTTTTCTAGGCCAAGGTCAACTGTCTTGGCATACCAGATGTCTGAAGCTGGAACCCACATGACACTACACACACCCCAGATTGGATGTCCAGTTTGAATTGTTGGTTGTGGGGGGGGGGGACTTGGGATAACTTTATGTAATTTCTGTGCCTTTTGCCTCAGATCTTGTATTTCTTTTGTTGCTACCACTTCATACTCAGTAAAGGTCCTTTTCTCTATAACAACGGAGTCTAAGGCTTTCTTTCTTGGATTTTGAATGGAGCCGCATCTGACAGATAGCCCTTTTTCTTGCCATGACTGGGGTGTGTTTTGAACCAGTGCAAAAATGTTTCTGCCTTTAACTCTCCAGATTCTCATGTTGCTTCAGGTCAGAAGATGTGAGAGCAGCTGCAGAGTAAAGAAGAGGAACACCCTACCCGACTCTGTGGTCACAGCCTCGAGCCCTCACAGCTTCAACTTCAGACTGTCTCCCGTGGATCTCCTCACCCCATTCGTAAGAGGTCCTTAAAGGGGACATGCATAAGAAGCGCACCAATGGGCCTCCCGTCCCTGTCCTACTGTCCCCATTGATCTGTACTTTGTTCATATTCATACTTATACTTGTTATCTTGTACATGTTTGACAAACAAACAAACAAACAAACAATTAAAGTCAACACTTGGTAGGTTATTACCATGATGAATACATGACTGTGGGGTGTTGCTACCTCAAGGGATTCAACTGAAGACACACCTGAGACTGCCACAACCGCTGTCATAAGAAGTATAAACAAATAATTGTCTCATCTTGAGACATCTTAGTCTCCTCTGTACCTCATGACTGTGTCATTTAGCAATGAAGCTCCTGATCAATCAGCATTGCTAAGCAAGGACAACTTGTATTCCTGTTCTGTGGCCAATGAGAAATATCAAGATTTGGAACATGAGGGAAACTAAACTGTTCAGCTGGCACTGTTAAAGAAATATCAATTTTGGCTTATTAGTAATGGCTGCCTTCTTATTATCTTAATCTTTCACTTATTTATAGTTGCTTGACTTTACTCAAATTGATTTTGAATGTTTCTGTAGCATATTAAATCACTGGTCTTGATCTTATTATTGTTTTATTGTTTTAGGGGGCCTTATTGCTATCATTTTAAAAATGTATTTCTTTTCTTACAAAATTCTGGGTATGGTGGCCTCCCACCAGTCAAAAAAAAAACAACACCCCTAACAATCAGAAGATATCAACATCTCCAAGATAAACCTTTTACTCCAGTCCTGTTAACTTTTTTTCTGGGGCAAATGGAGATGCTATTTTCATTCCTTAAAAATATCTTTCTCTGGACCTCAGTGGCATTCTTCGGCACTCTGCTTGGCAACAAATGAAAATAAAAAGGTCAATGCCAAGGAAATATGCCTTCTGTTGGAAATGAAGATGAGCAGTTTGGCTGGGAAATTGTCCCAGAAAAGGGGGTGCATAGAGACCCTCCTCCGCGTCCTCCTCCTTTCTTGTTACCCAGGAGGCACCTTGAGTTTTACATTGGAACCTTGCTTCCTAGCCTATCTTTCTTTTCCAGCTAATCCTTGCATTCTCATTCCAAGCTACCTGCTTCCCCACTTAAGCCTGCCTCTGGGTCCAGCTTTGGGAAAAGCAAGAATTGCTCCATAGAAGATGCAATTTAAAATGGGCTAAATGCATGGATGGGTGTGCATCTGTTGAAGTCATGTAGAAAAACGGGAAGGTTCCTGCTGTGCTTTGCATTCAGTGATTCTGTTCAGGTGGGGATGACGAGAGGGGGGGGGGGCATCCTGACCTGCTTCTGGTTCTCACAGTCTGTTTCCCCACAAGACATTGGAGAGGAAGGAGGGTTTCCCAATGAACAGACTGGGAACTTGGGCTTCCTCCCCACAGAAGTGTGCCTCACGGGCACTTCTCTGAAGCCTCCCTGTTGTTCCGCCCTCCTTCACGCTCTCGGAGCAAAAAGATCCAGATACGTGTCTGATTC